AGAGAAGTTTCTGGATTTCCTGAGGGAACGGCTGCTTTCAGGTTTTCCTAAGAGGAAAAGGAAATTTGTGTTTTTCCTGAGGGGAGAGGCTAGTTTTCCTGAGGGAAAATGAAATTTCTGTTTTTCCTGAGGGAAAGACTGGTTCCTGATTTTTGAAACAGAGAAGGAAAATTCAGTTTTTCCTGAAGGAGCGGCCAGTTTCTGGTTTTCCTGAGGGGAATGGAAATTTCTGATTTTCCTGAAGGAGGGGCTGGTTTCTCACAGTTTCCTGAGGGGAAAAGGAAATTGCTGGAAGAGGCGGGTTCCTGGTTTTCCTGAGTGAAAACAGATTGTGTATTTTTCCTGAGGGAAAAGGGAATTTCTGTTTTTCCTAAGCAAAAAGGGAATTTCTGGTTTTCTGGAGGGAGAGGCCCCTTCCTGGTTTTCTTAAGGGAAAGGAACTTCCTTTTCCCTCGGAAATGTCAGGTTTTCCAGAGGGAGAGGCTGATTTCTGTTTTTCCCACAGGAAAAGAAAATTTCTTTTTTTCTGTTGGGAAAAGAATTTTCTGTTCTGTGGGAAAAGAAATTTCTGTTTTTCCTAAGGGAAAAGGAAATTTTTGGTTTTCCTGAGGGGAAAGAGATTTTCTCTTTTTCCTGAGGGAGAGGCCGGTTTCTGGTATTCCTGAGGGAAAAGGAAATTTCTGGTTTTACTGAAGGAGAAGTAATTTTCTGGATTTCCTGAGGGAAAAGGAAATTTCTGTGAGAGGCTAGTTTCTAGCTTTCCTGAGTGAAAAGGAAATTTCTGGTTTTCCGGAGGGGAAGGAGAATTTCTGTTTTTCCGGAAGCAGAAGACCGTTCCTGGTTTTCTTGAGGGAAAAGGAAATTTCTGTTTTTTCTAAGGAATAAGGGAGTTTCTGTTTTTCCTAAAGGATAGGCCAGTTTCTGGTTTTCCTGAGGGAGAGGCTGGTTTCTGGTTTTCCTGAGGGAAAAGGAAATTTCTGGTTTTCCGGAGGGAGCCTCTGGTTCCTAGATTTCCCAAGGGAAGAGGAGATTTCTTGTTTTCCTAAGGGGAAAGGGAATTTCTGTTTTTCCTGAGGGAGAGGTTGGATCCTGGTTTCCTCAGGGAAAGGAAATTTCTTGTTTTCTGGAGGGAGAGACCAGTTCCTAATTTTCCCAAGGGAAAAGGAAATTTCTGGTTTTACTAAGGGAGAGGCTGGTTCCTGGCTTTCCTGAGGGAAAAGGAAATTTCTGTTTTTTCTGAAGGGGAGGCCAGTTTCTGGTTTTCTGGAGGGAGAAGGAAATCTCTGGTTATCCTGAGGGAGAGGCCGGTTTGTGGATTTGCTGAGGGAAAAGGAAATGTCTGTTTTTCTGGAGGGAGAGGCTGGGTCCTGTTTTTCCTGAGGGGAAAGGTAATTTCTGTTTATCCCGACCCAGGAAGCAGCCATTGTATTCACGCAGTTTGAAATCATAATCCTGATTTTTTTCTCTTTCTTCCAGATCTAGCCATGGCGGAAGGGGAGAGGCCGAGGCCGCTCCTCCGACTGGTGCAGGAGGGACGGCTGGACCTCCTTCGGGACGAGCTGCGGCCGGATGATGCGCTGGGCCCAGCAGTGCGGAGCCAGCGCTACGGGCGCTTGGGGGACACGCTGCTGCACCACGCTGCCCGCTACGGGCACCGGGACGTCCTCGCCTACCTGGTAGAAGCGCTGGGGATGGACGTTGAGGTGTTCAATAGTGACTACAAAAGACCCCTCCACGAAGCAGCCTCCATGGGCCACGGGGAATGTGTTTCCTACCTCCTGGAGAGAGGTGCGAGCGTAGACTGCTTGAAAAAGGCAGACTGGTAGGTCACTGGTTTGCTTTGTCGCGCGTCAGAGCGATATCTGAAAGAGGTTTGGATGCAGAAGGTGGGAATGCGACTGCAGGAGCCGTCATTTAGAATCATAGAATAGTTTGGGTTGGAAGGGACCTTTAAAGGTCATCCAGTCCAACCCCCCTGCTGTGGACAGGGACATCTTCCACTAGATCAGGTTGCTCAGAGCCCCGTCCAACCTAACCTTGAATGTTCCCAGGGATGGGGCATCTACCACCTCTCTGGGCAACCTGCTCCAGTGTCTCACCACCCTCATAGTGAAGAATTTCTTCCTTATGTCCAATCCAAACCTTCCCTCTCTCAGTTTAAAACTGTTGCTCCTTGTCCTGTCACTGCAGACCCTGGTAAAATGTCTCTCCCCATCTTTCTTATAAGCCCCTTTAAGTACTGAAAGGCCGCAATAAGGTCTCGCCGAACCCTTCTCTTCTCCAGGCTGAACAACCCCAACTCTCTCATAGCAGAGGTGTTCCATCCCCCTGATCATCTTTGTGGCCTCCTCTGGACCCGCTCCAACAGGTCCATGTCTTTCTTGTGCTGAGGACCCCAGAGCTGGACGCAGCACTGCAGGGGGGGTCTCATCAGAGCAGAGCAGAGCAGAGGGGCAGAATCCCCTCCCTCGACCTGCTGGCCACGCTGCTGGTGATGCAGCCCAGGATACGGTTGGCTTTCTGGGCTAAATTCCATCCCTATCACTGATTTCCCCCTGTTTATCGTAGAAGCTGTAAATTACTGCTTCATTAGGACATCCAATTTAAAAGCTTTCATCCGCAGCTATTTGTTCTTCCCCATTCCCCCGTTTGATGGGAATCAGTGATACTGATTCACATTTTTGTGTCCTGGTCCTCAGAAACTGAAATAAGATGATAAAAAGTAAGTTTTACTCCTGTTTCCCCCCAGCAAACAGAGCCTCTCGGGTCAGGTTTGCTACTGATGTAATAGCAACAGCTTCAGCAACCCCAAAAACAACTGGTTTCTTCAGGGCTTTTGTTTGCCTGCCATGCGGGTAACATGTAAGCAAATGGTGAGGGAATGAGAATTGGGAATAAAAAATAAAGCCTAATCCACAGACAAGCAGCAGGCCTGATTAATGTCAAATTCTCCTCTTGGGAAGGGAGATTTCTGTGTACCACCTTGTAAAAGAAAGCAGAGTCTCCCCAGCCCACAAATTAAAGCCTGGGGAGGTTGTTTTGAAGCTGAACTAACACAAATACAAAGGCAGCATCCTAGTCCTTGTAATTTTAGGCTGTGCCAGCGTCATGCTGACATCAGGGGGAGCAGAGGGAGGCAGAGATCTCATGAGCTGCGTGCAGATGCATGTGCAAGCCTGGTTTTCTTTGATAGGCCCGCAGTACCCTTCTATCCATGGATTAAAAACGGGGAGCTATGTGCTTGCTAGCGCATGTCCCAGCCTTCGGACAAAGTCTCATTTGCATTGAAAATATATGCTGATCTGAGGCACTGTATAGAAACGGAGCTGCAGGAAACACGGAGCTCCAGGCTCAGCTCTACCCTGTCATTCCCAGCAGACGCGTGTCTAATCTCTTCTTAAAAATCTCCATCGCTGGAGATTTTATCTCCCTTCTCAGCACTCTCTTCCTGTCCTTATCTGTCCTGACAACTGGAGCATTTGTCCTAATGTCTAAGCCAAATCTCTCTCCCTGCAGTTTAGACCCAGGAGTCCTTATTCCTTGTGCAGTGGGAAGTTTTTGTGCCACAGCTTTTCCTGAATGAGGAATGGAGGGTTTTTTTGTCTCCCAGCTGACGTATGTGTGTTGGTGAAGAGGAGATAAGCCCCCTCCATGCTGAAGAAGTGTTCATCTTTTCTGGGAAAGCTCAGAGGTTTCTGTCTGATCCGTGTGCGCACCCAGCGTTTGATGATTGGGTGAAGTTTATAAACAGATAAAATGGAGAATGCAGCTCCCACTTGCAGCAGTTAAGCTATTATTGTTATATAATGTGGTAATTAAGGAAAATAGAGGTCGGTGCTGGTGAGGTGGTGAAATTAGTCACTTAAGTAAAGCCAAATACGGGAGATGTCTGTGGGTTCACCACCTCAAGCTACCCACGCTTTGCCTTGCGAGTAAACCCTCAGCTAACGCCCACCTCCTGATGGCTCCGGGCTTGCTCCTCCAAAGGAGGCTGCAGATCCAGCAACCACGCCGGTCCTCAGTGGGGAAGAATGGGCAAGGAGATAAGAGGTCACCAGGGAGGAAAAACTCAGTGGTGAGCCTGTTCTGCTGCCAAGCGGGAGCTGGGGTGGTTGTTAATCTGCGGCGCGTGGGTTTTAGGTGTGAAAACGTGGTCATTGCTGGATACGGGGTTGAAAGCAGGGCGAGATGGGCTGTTTGCTGTATTTATTTGTCAGATGTATCCACTGGCTTTCCAGGAGCACACACGCAATCCGTGCAAGGCACAGCTTGGAAATTGTGGGATGGAGAAGATGCTGTTCCCCTGGGGAGCTTGTAAAAGATGTTTTTAAATATCAAAGGTTGTTCCCAGGCATGTGAAACAGGACAAAACTGTGAAAAGCTTCACTCTCAGGCCAGCTGTTCTCCATCAGAAACGTTCCAGAGTGGCATTTGCTGGTACACTCATGCCCTGCTGCCAGGAGATACGGCGTTGTCTCTGGTTTGCTGCCTGCAGCCACAGCTGCCTGTCTGGGTGACTGGCTGCGGTAAGAAACACTGATGTTAACAGCTCTGTCTCAACAGTCCCCAAAAGTCCAGACCTCCCCGTATTACCTGCATGAAAAAGCAGTGCTATAAAATCTCAGGGGTCCATATGCAGCGCGTGGTGAGCCTCAGTCAAAGCATCCGAACGCAGTTGAGATGATAAATTTAGCCTCGGGCTTGGAGAAGGTCTTTGCCTTTAGCCAGCAAAGTTTCCTACTACCTCAGAGTGGTTTTAGCGCATCAATTTTCCCTCTGGCTAGCTCACTACAGCTGGCACTGAGCTACTGTGTTTTGTTAGACAGGGTGGTTGGTGCTACAGACAACTTTAGATCATGCTTCAAGCTCAGACGTTAGAACAAAAGCTGTCAGGCTCGTACGGCACTGTCTCTCTGGTTATCATGTTTGCCTCATCTTTCTTTTAGGACTCCCCTAATGATGGCTTGCACCAGGCAAAACCTGGAGGTGATCAAAGCTCTCGTGGAGCATGGAGCCAACCCACTGCTGAAGAATAAGGATGGCTGGAATTGCTTCCACATCGCGAGCCGGGAGGGCCATCCCCAGGTCCTCCGGTACCTGCTGGACATGTCCCCGGGCAGCTGGGACACGGAGAGCACGATAAAGAGAACGCCGCTGCACACAGCAGGTAAAAGAGGGTCCCGTTGCCACCAGATGTGTTGGAAGAGAAGAGCAAGCCGTGGCAGCAGCAGAGAACAGAAAGGGGCTGTTGTTTCAGCTCACGTTTAGTTTGGAGAAGCAAAATGTGACCTGTCTTGGTACAAAAACACAGGGAAACAGTTAAATATTAGGTTATTGAAATTAAATGAAAAGAGGCTAATGGTGGGCACTAGCAGGAGCTCACCTTTCTGAACTTCCGTCTGCTAACAGTGCTCTGCTACATCTTTGCTGGGTTTCACCTCAGGACAGACACTTATTTTAGTTGCTTTCAGATAAACCAAGAGCAAGAATTAGGCTTAATATTTCTTAATGAAGTGCCAAAGACTGAGCTCGTGAGGTTGGAGGGCCCTCAGTTCCCATTTCACTGGATTTTGCCTGTGCTCAAAGCATGTTTTTGTGGTGCATAACAGTTATGTTCTCTTGGGAGTGGTGGATCCATCCCAGGATCCCACTCGCAATCACCCACTGACTTTGGCCTCCTTGGACCAGGGTGTTCGTCTCCATCTCTACCTCCCTGTGACAGATATGTCCAGGCTCCCACAGCTCATAACACATTGTAATACACTTTTCCTTGCTGGCGTATAAAGCTGTGAATTGTGCTTGGAAAATCTGCAAGGCTCCAAGCATATCCTGGCATTTTAAGAGTCCTAAAAGCAACAGAGCTGCCGAGAGGCACCTTTTGGGATCTGCCTGTTGATGGACATTTTTACCAGTTTGGTTTATAGTCTCCTCGTCAGTTTTTGTAAGAGGAGTATCTCTCGAAATGATCCATTTTTGTCTGAATGCTTGATGGGTTAGGTCACTATGGCAAATCTGAAGAGCTGTGGGGTCTCTAGGCATAACCTCTAGAAGAAGCATCACAGGTTTTGGTATTCCTACATTGCTCTTAAGAAGGTAGTATCTAGTGGTGAGAAGTCCAGAGTGCCTTTCTGCAAACGGGAAGGATCGCCTCTACTGCGAATACGAAGAGGCTGTTGTTAGGGTTGGAGCCCACAGTGTCTGATTCCCCTTCTCTGCCCCTTTCGTTGGTTTAAAAGGACATATAAAGGGAACGAACTGGTTTGAAGAACCACAGGCGTCATCAGGCGTGGTGGGGAGCAGAAGGGCACAGTTAGCTGAACAGTGACCCAGAGGCAGTTTGGATTTGGTTTCTGGCTTTCTGACTCTTTCATCCTTGAGATGGAGTGATTCATCTTAATTTATGAATGATGCAGAAGGTGTGCCTCAATTAAGTTCTGAGTCTTAATACATTGAATGGCCCAAAAATGTATTAATGCAGAATTAAGTTTGTCCTGCTGTGTTTCATTGCAGAGTATCAGGTCTGGTTACCCACAGACCTGTGTTAGCTCGGCAGTGCAGATAAAGCATGTGTCTTCCCAGAGCTTAAATCCCCTTAACTCTGCAGTGGGAGTGGATGATGAAGGGAGGGAGTGAGTGAGCGGAGGGGTGTGCGAAACCAAGTCGGGGTTACGTTGTGGGGCAGGCTCGGGGCTGGAGGGTGGTGGCTGACCTGAATCTGAAACATGCCTCATCCCTGAGCAGGGATTAGGCTGTCCCAGGCCTCGGCAGTGTCTCTGCCAGAGAGATGAGCGTGGGGAGCCACTGCTCAAAGCTGTGGCTACCTAAACTCATTTCCCAAAGAATTTAATAGGGATTGACTCCCTGGAAAGACCTGACGTATCGTGAGGAGACCCCTGCTGTGCTGTAATTAATCAGTTGGGTATGTTGCTCCTTGGCTGTCATTCCCGTTACTTCTCCGGCCCTCAGTAGCCGCCCGTCCACTGCACTGTGCTCATCAGCAGTGACAGTCCCAGCCCAGGGGCATCGGCTGCGCCTTAGTCCTTGTGCTTGACCTGAGAATGAAAAATAGCTGATGAGTTGTTTGATGTTTCAGGCTGGGCGGCGAGGAGCAGGTTGCCTGAATGAGAAATGGCTAATCCTCATTTATTTGCACGTTCTCCTGTCCCTGCTCAATCCCAGGTCTTGTGTTTCTGTGTCTGGGCTGGCAGGCTGGGCTCGCAGCCCCCTCTCAGCCCTCTCCCTGCAGAGGAGTGGACGTTGGGTTGGGATCTGGGGGTTGAGTATCTGGGAACAGGGTCAGGAGCCAGGTGAGGACTCTCCTGAGGAAAAGGGGGGCTTTTGATTTTGAGCTTAAAGTCTCCTCCCTGCCTCGTAGCGCTTGGGATATGGGGGTACAGACAGCAACGGTGGGATCCAATGCCCAGTTCTCACTGCTTCCTAGAGGTGTCTCCACCTCTGTGTTGCCTCCTGTGTTTGACTTTCACTGTGGCAAAGCCATCAACCCATGATTTGGGTTGATTTCTGGTCATTTTACTGATCCAGGTTAGACCCTGGACCACACATTGGCGGAGCAGCAGGCGGGGCAGGCCCCCCAGCCGGTGCAGGAGCGACTGGGCAGCAGGAAGGGCTGGAGCTGCTTAAACCACCTTTGCCCCCATCATAATTTTAGCCCAGGATGATGCTGGGGGCTGCTGCTCGGAGGGTGCTGGTGCCAGCATCCCCACTCACACCACCACATAGCCCAGTTAGATACAGCTCCTGAGGCAGGGGCACGGGCGAGGGGCTGGAGACGATGCTGGAGCTGCCGGGGGGAATCATTTTTTTTTCCGCTCTCTCAATGAGTTTACATCCCAAGGGTGTGGATATGAACACATTAACCCGTGACCAGTCCAGCTGGCTTCCTGGCACAGTTATCCCTGGATAGATGATGGGTAATTTTCTCCCCTGTGCAATTTTTTTTCGGGTTGATGCCTCAAGCTTTGCTGCTTCATATATCCGTAGCCTGAGGCAAGAAAGCAGGGGAGATGTAATTAGAGGAAGTGGAGTGCAACAGTGGATCTGAACGCTGCAGCGTTCTTGTGTTTCTGTTGCTGTTAAAGGATGTAATCGTGTTGCTTGGGGTGTTTTTTCTTCACGTAGCTTGGATTTTTTAAAGCCTCCATTTCGAAAATCCTTTTCACAGTGTGGCTCTGCCTGTATTTACATCAGCTCAGGTGAAGGGGTGATAAACGGGCTGGGAGCAGGAGCAAGCAGCCAAGATCTGGGAGGATGGGAACCCCTCGTTGGGCTTTCAAAGAGCATCTATTGTGCAGCTGTGTCTGAAGGTTATTGCTGGTAAGGCATTTTTGCCAGGGGCCCTTCTTCCATCGCAGGGAGTAAATAGCCTGATGTAGCAGCTCCGGGCTTGGTTTGATTTTTTTTTTTTTTGCTTTAATGATTTCGTTTGTTTTGCAAAATGACCTGCAGAAAAAAAGCCAGGTCAAGGCTGTCCTTGCATTGCTGTAATACAATGTGGTTTTAAAAAAAAAAAAAAGAGAGAGAGAATATTTCAGTGTATGATGTTCAAATCCTCCCCCACTGTTGTTGTTTTTCCTCTGAGATGCTGTCTGGGTGAGGATGCTTCATTAGGATGATGTGATGAGTAGTCTGCGTGGCTGAGAAGGGGTGGAAATGCCATCCAGCTATTCACCAGCTCCCTGCTTTGTGTTCGTTTTGCTTCTCACAGATTTCATTTTAGGGATTAACAAATACTTGCAAGAAAAGATCTTTGTGTCAGCTTAATAGCGTGTACTCATGCATGCACTCTGCAGGTAGAGGCAAATGGTGCCTATATGCATGCCTTTTCCCTGTTTTATCTGGTGTTTTCCTATAGGATCAGGGAAAGGGAAGGCTTCAGATCTGGAGACAATGTTTTAATTACAAAAAAAAAAATCAAAAGCTTTGAATTTAAAGCCTCTTGGGAACCCCTTCCTGCATTACGAGTAAGCCAAAAGGGTCAGAAACTTGATTATGTTTCACGTAGGCGGACGGTGGCATGAAAACATAAATCAACCCTGCACTTCTCTCACTCTCTCGCAGCAATGCATGGCTGTTTTGACGTTGTGGAGCTGCTCCTGGAGCGGTAAGCAGGCTTCCTCCCGGTACTGCCTCTGCCTCCTCGCTCTCCCCCGCCTCCCATCCACCGCCAGGCTCGCTCTAGCCGCCTGGACACAAAGGGCGTTTATGCTGTTTGGGAAGCCCGGTTGCACAGCTGCCCTGCATGCGATCCCGTTTCCTCCAGGTTTTTCACAGCTGATTAGGGGCCTTTGAGACAAGGATGCGCTCCGGATGGGCTCCCGTGGGCTCTGACTTCGCTATGACATAAACCCCGGTTATATAACTCGGCTCTTTTTCTGTGCTGATTCATTCCCGTTGCCTCCGATGTGTCTGAGGCCATACGATAACAACACAACAGTTTTTTGGCAGCTTGGTTCTGGGTGCAGCTCCTCCAGGCTGGACTCAGCCTCCAGGCTTTATTTTCAGGCTCCGGTTCCCAGGAGACTGCTGTGAAGTGGCTTTAAATCAGCCCGTGCCCAGTCATCCTGACCCTGTTACCTTCCTAACCAGCACTGCCTGCTGCCAGAGCTGGAGCAGCTTTCCCCAGGCACCGCAGCCGCTGCTAGCTCCTGTTAGTCGACTCATCCCAGCCTTGTTAATTCCTGTCCACGCTTGGCCCAGTGTAAACATAGCCCTGTGATTCGAGCCAGGCTTTCAATTTTAATTCAGACTTCTCTCATTTCAATGGAGCTTTAACCTGAGCGAGACCTGTGGGCTTTGATTTTGTATGTGGTGGTGTTACATGAGGATATGGTTTTCCCCTCTGCCAGTTCACACCTTACCCCTGCTAGAGATCCTCTTCAGGGGGCAAGGGAAATATGAATGATCTGTAGAGCCCTGGCTTTCCGGTAGCCCAGGCAAGCCACACGGGCTGAGTACCAGATCTCTGACCCAAAAAACCCCAGCAGACCGTACCCCAGGCCGTAAAGCATCGAGACAGGTTTATGCACGATCTACGGGCAGGCTTTATATCTGTCATTTCCGATCCCATCCACTGATAGTCTCCTGCCCCACCAATGCAAAGCAACTGGTGCAGTAAGGATTTTAGAGCCGCCAGCAACTCTGTCCTGGCTTTTGTCTTCTCTCCCAGGTGCCAGTACAAACCTGACAGCAGAGACAAATGTGGAGTCACTGCCTTTATGGATGCTATCCAGAACGGGCATGTCAACATTGCCCGGCTGCTTTTGGAAAAACACCAGGTAGGTGCCAAACTAGAACCGCCTGGGACAGGCAATCCACGCGTTCACCGTAACTGTATTGTAAAGAAGCAAATTCCCAAATTGTAAAGAAGTGAATTTCAAAAGAAGGCAAATTCTCCCTGGAGATGAGCAAGATTTTGCCGAGTAAGGCCACCAGGACTCAGCTCATGGTGAAGATCTCGCCTTGGGGCAGGGATATGTCCCCTTAGCTGGTGAAGGGGGATGGAGAGACAAGGCAGTGGCAGGAGGGGACAGGACTTGCCCAGCGCTGCAGGGGCAGCTGTGTCAAAGCCAAGACCAGCACTCGGGAGTGCCAGGGCTCAGCGTGGAGGCTCTCGTGGCAGCGCTGAGGGTGGATAACACGGAGGCGTCTGGCTGCGCCGGCAGCAGCTCATCTCTGGCCTCCCTCTCTCGTGGCAGCTGCTGCTCCCGTGTTGTCTCCCAGTAATCTCCGATTTCCTCCAACATACAAGGCATAACAGGGATGTTATTAGAGCCAATTGTGCATAGCAGGAACCAGACCCCTGCATTATTTATTGGCTGCTGAACTGATGTGAGATGGTTGGAGCCCACTTAATGGCTGATTCTCATGGAGGTGGGGTTGTGCCTCCCTTCTCACCTACTTTGCCCTCACTTTGCCTCTCCCCTGCACCAGCTCTGGTGTTCATCAGACACCGTACCGAACCAGTGCACCTCATGGCCTGGGAGAAAGCTAGCATGGCAAAACCAGTGAATCCGTTTGTGCCACGCTGGCAGGTTGAATCGGCCAGCTGAGCCCCCAGCATGGCACGGAGTGGGCGAGGGAAGGTGATACCACACTTTTCAAGGTCACAGGCTTTGGACTTACTCAGCCGTAACACCTAGCCTCACCCAGCAGAGGTGGTTTGATGCCCAGGTTGCGTTCAAGTGTGTAGATAGTCGTTGACTTCAGGAGATGTTCATGTGCTTATCTTCGCTCATCTGGCCCTTACAGGATAAAACATCTGTGAAGTTTGCTTTTGTTTTTAGTCTCACAAGTCAGGCAAGGAAAATGAAATTGTTGGTTTAATTTCCTCGTGGTGCCCTGGCTTACTGCCATGAAGCAGCATTGGAAACGCTAATGGCAGTGTTGCTACCTTCTAGGTTTTACAAAACCGTGAGTCAGGCCCACTAGACTTCAAGAGGCTGGATTATATCCTCTAAGATGAGTGCACTGTGTATTACTTCTGTTACCCTTCTTGATTTTATGTCTTTGCGATTCACGTTCAGAGACTCACAGAAGAGACCTCATGAGGTCATCCACCCACCTCCCTCCCTCCACCTGTGTCTACGTTCTTCTCCACCAGCAGAAAGGTTGGACATGGGTTGTTTCTTGCTGCTTTAAAGAGTTGAAACCCATCATATATGTTCAAACTGAAGAGAGAGGGCTTGGTGGTTCTTTTTTGGCACTGGTTTTGCTTATCACTTAACAAGCTCAGCAGAGAGCTGGCTCTGGTCTGCAAATCATGGTGCTACCAACTGCACCTGTCCTGCTGTGACATCCCACGTGTTCATTGCCATCACCATGGCCGTGGCAGGCAGACATGATTCTGCTTGGGCTGGTGATTGCCCTTGAAGGTTTGGCCAAGCTGCTCATTGCTTTCCCTTTCCTTCCTCCCCCATTCCAGGCCTGTCCTACAGCCATGGACGCGCTAGGCGCTCAGCCTCTGCACCGGGCAGCCGTCACAGCCCAGGATGAAGCCATCCAGTTCCTCGTCTCTGAGCTGGGTGTCGATGTCAACGAGAGAGCGACGGCCCTCCAACTCACAGCACTGCACTACGCAGCCAAGGTTTGTTCCTGTTCCCAGGCTTCCTCTACAAAGTCTTTGCCAGTTGATGTGCTACAGGCAGACATCTAAAACAGGCTGGTTTAGATGTTCGCCACTGATGGAGGATTTACATTCCTAGCGCATCCTCTGTCACTATCTGTCTGCTCCTGACCAGTCCCATACCCTGTTTAATGGTTTTTAGACCCTCATTAAGTATGCCCAGCTGTCTGCAGAGTGGCGGTGGGTATCTGAGTTGCTCTGTTCACCGCTTTCCTGCCCATGCCGCTAACTGCGCTGTGGCTTAGTAAACCCTCCTGCCTGGCGTGTGGCTGAGTGGAATCGTGCAGGAGCAGAGGCAGGTGGCGATAGGGCACAGCTCCTTTGCCATCCAGTTGGCCATGCTGTGGATAGGGCTTGACCCACATCTCTGGTGAGCGTTACTCTTCCAGTCTGCTGCCTTTGGACCAAAGTGCAATATCTGAAAGGAGACCACCCTGCTAGTTATTGGGAGCTGTAGGTACCAACAGTTCATGAGCTGTGACAGTTCTTGACCAGCGTCTTCTCACTCGCTTGGCAGAGGAGACGTGGATGAAACGCTGCTCAGATTTCTTTCTCTGTCTGTCTTCAGCCCTGGCAGTTTGGGTCACAGCGGGTCGGTGGCCAGTCTCCATGTCAGCAGCTTGCTGGACAGAAGATAGCTGATGCGCTGTGAAACAGCAACTGTTTGTCCCAGTAGGCCGGATTCTGGCCTGCCCATGGTCAGATGTGAGAAAGGAGAGGTGGAAAGGCAGAGGGAGCTCCTGGGTGCTTATCTGTGTCCTTCGCACAGGACCTGTTTTGAATTCCAGGCAGTGAGAGCCGTTTGAGCTTTCTTCTCCTCCCATCTCACGCCTGTGCGGGAAGTGGGGTCGGGTGAGCTGTGGGTCCTGCAATGCTCCCTGGGAGCACGGAGCAGGTCCCAAAAGCCTTACCGCTGACCAGGATCCCTCCTGGGACCTTGCTGCCTCCCTTCTGCTTGGTGCTGTCGTACCACAGTGTGCAGCATGCTGGCAGCTGGCAGCAAGGAAAGGTCCTTGCTCAGATCCCTGCATGTTAAACCTTATGAGCTTTAACATGCAGCACTCAGCGCCTGGTCTAGACTTGTAGTGGGAACGAAGCAGCATCCCAGCGTCCCATTCCTACAAAAGCATCAATGACACTTACTGGGAGTGCTGGCAACAGTATTCTCCTCCAGCAGGACCCAGCCGTGGCATTTGCTGGCTCCCACAAAGGAGGCCTTTCTCCCAGCTTCCCTTCCTCATGCTCTGAGAAACCATGTTGAAAGCCCTTTTGGTTGCCAAGGGTACATTTAACAGCAAGGCTATTGGGGAATATAATGTGCCTTGGAGAAGATCCCAGCTCTGTCTTGGCGAGTGGCTGATTGGGGAGCAATTTGATGGGTTTCTCTTCCTTCCCGAGGCTCAGTGTCACTTTATATTTACAGCATCATTTGTTTGGCTGGTGGGTTTTTTCCTTCTTTTCTTATTACTTTGCATTTATAAATACGTGAAAATCAAATTACACTTTCAACTCAATTTGCTGCCAAGGCTGTGGCAGCTGAAGCGGTTCCTGGCTTGCCATCTTTGCCACTGAGAAGGGGTGTGCATGCAGCAAGGAAATGGGAGCCTTGAGCAGAGGGGAAGATGCTACTGAGTCGTACGATAACGGGGGAGAAGAGTGGGTGGTGGGGATAAAAATAAGGGCCTTCCATTCTCATGCCGCACAACAAAGACTAATTCATTGCATTGAAGAAGTAATTACAAAATCTGGTGTGTTATTTAGGGACAGAGGATTTATTTACAGAGAAGCATGTGCAGAGGGGAGGGATGTCGGGGCTGTATTGCATTTTCCCCTGCAGCGTTTAAAATTGGCTACTGGCAGAGGAAAGATAGAGGACGCTGGGTCGTGACAGTGTGCAAGCGTGACATTGGGCGTCTTCTCACAGGGCATTACAATACTGGAGTAATCCTTTAGGAAATGCCAGTGCCCGAGGGTACCGCAGGCAGATGCACAACAGTCCACATCAGCAACAGGTTCTGCTCTCTGAGCTGAAATACACCTCGGTAAGAGCAACTCTAGAACCTCGTGGTACTTGAAGTGGATTTACAGTGTAGAAAAACACACAGTTTTTTGCTGACATTTAGTCCTTTTAACAGCCAGCTGCCAATTATGAAAGGTAAGTCAGGGATCCTACAGCTCTGTGGCCAGTTGAAGTTAAAAGCAATTTAATTGAGTTACTTGATTGGAGGCGAGGACTGGAGAGGCAAAGGCAAGATCGGTTGACAAATTAATGCACTAATTTGCTATTAAGAAACATCTTTAGGTTGTGTCACCCAGTTGTCAGAGGTCGTTTGTGCATTAACTCCTCCACAGCCACCGGCAAAGGCAAAGCCACACTGGCAGACAATGCTCCAAATTCCTCACACCTCAAGGTCCTGGCTGTGCAAGGTAGATATATTGACCACGATCAGGAAGATCATATGGGATCTATAGTTGTCTAAAAGCAGATCCACCTGCCTGGATCTGGACTTGGTTGTGTGTCTATCACACCTGCCCTGGCAAGGCACCGCTCTCAGGCTTTGGCTGTACCACCGCCACCAGAGACAGCTCTGCACTGTAGCGTGATTTTAAGCCCTATTGATCTTAACTGAACACTTCTGATTTTAAATATTAAATATTCGCAGAGAGAATTATGCTCCTGGGATGCTTCTTGCTGCTGCTTTTTCAGCCTCTGGGTTGAAATTGCTGCCAGGGGCACGTGAGGCATACAGACACACTGACTGAGGGCCAAGATCTCACTCTTCTCACAGGCTGCCAGCGGCAGGGCTGGAGAAAGTGCCCGGTGGCATCTCTGTGACCAATTCCTGTAGGGTAACAGCAGCATATCTGCTGTGCCTGGGCAATCCCTGGCTAATGGACCTGATCTGCACTGCCACAGGCAGCTGACCCTGATTTCCAGCCGCTGTAAGGTCCTCTGGAGCCTGGAGCAGCTCCTGGTAGCCCCGGATTTGACCGTGACAGAGTGGATCTGCGTCTGTGCCCTTCCAGGTGCCGTATGCGCTTAGGGACGGATCACTTGCAGCCTCCTTTCTTTTCAGGCCTGTGTTATTTCTGCTAAATGCAAAGGTGAGAAATTGTGGAGAGCTGGTTCTGAATAAATAATCCACGTGCCTGTGCTCACCACTGCAGGAAGGACACGTGCACACCATCCAGACGCTGCTGTCCCTTGGCGCTGATGTCCACGCAAAGGATGGGAAGAGCCGTTCTGGTAAGGCTACCGAGCTATTTGTTCACCTCTATATGACAGCAAGAGTGCGCTTTAGTAACAGGAGCCCAGCCTCCAAAGCAGCCCATGCTGTGTCTGCTCAGCGGAGCGTGCAAGGGGATGCCAGATGCACATATGCAAATGGGTCTCGGAGCAGCGCAACGTGTGGGGGGGTTTTTTGCAGCTTTCATTCACTGGCTGTCTTCCTGCTGGACTTTCTGATGCCTAATGGCGTGGTTGAGCCTGCACTGGGGCCTTTCCCTTGGGCCAATTAGCATTAGAGATGCTAATTGGTGTTTCTCTCTACCCAGCTGCTTATTTTGCATGGAACTTTTGGGAGCTTAGTATCTTTGATATCGCTACCTCGCCATCAAATTTGGTTGAAATTAGCCAATTCAAAACGGTTAGGGTGGGCAGACAAATACAAGAATCGCACAAGCTCTTAAGCCTTAATTCCTTAGCAAACTGCCTAGGAATGGCTTATGAGCAAATAACAGAGAGCTTGAACGTAAATATAGTTGCTATAGTAATGCCAGTGAGTTGGCATTCCCAGCGTGAGAGTATGAGACATCTTTTGCATCAGCATCTCTCTCTCAAAAAAAGTATACATAAATGGTTTCAGCCATTGCCAAAATTGGCAACTTACCCAGTCTTCAGGTTTGCTTAATAACACGCTTCAGCGGTGAGCATGAACAGTCTTGTATCTCTTGATCTCTCCCTCCACCCCCTCAGTGAGTAAATTCAAGCTCTGCTGAACTCACCCAACCCAGGGACGTTTGTGGTGCCTCCTCATGCCCGTCGGCTGCCCCGTTCCCCGGCACCTTTGCTGTGTTAGTCTCACTGCGTCCTGGGGAGCTTCTCACCCAGACTCCGCTCCTTGAAAGTGTCCTGCATGGATTATCCATGGGGATCACGATGCCTCATGGTCAACATCAGCCTGCAGCAGGAGCTAATGACCCTCAGCGTAAAAGATACTCACCCCTGTGCAGGATTAAGCCAGGAGAAGGCAGCTGGCTCACCCTGCTGCACAAGCCAAGTGTAACAGGTCTGCCTAACTGTGCTGGAGCCACGCTGGATCAGCGTGCCGGCTGTTGGAGGGGTCTGCGAGATGAGCTGGGGCTTGGGCTGAGGTATTTCAGCCTCCTCCTGTAGGATGCTCTTTGCTGCATGCAGTGCATGGAAACCTTTCTGATTTATTCCCTGACCCTGGAGTGAGCTGGCAGGGAGCCCCAGCCCACGAAGGACCGCGGTCACTTCCAGAGTAGTTTCAGGCCCCTCTCTTGCATGTCACTATTAAATCCACCCCAAACACAGAGCAATAAGAAAACCAGAGGCCTTCTGCTCTGTCCCACAGCCTCCCCCTCCTGCCGTGGGCACCCTCTGCCCGTGACTCAGTCAAAATGAACCAAGTTGGCTTAAATACTCCTGATATGTTTGCAAACCTGGTTAGCTTTGGCTCAGCCAGGCTAGTACTGCTCGATGGGTTGGAGAGACTAGTAACCTGTGAGGGAAAGACCAGGGTAATAGCTAGGATAAGCCGGGCTGATCGTTCTTCTACCCAGCATGGCTGGGTGTAGAAGAGGACGTGTCCCCTGCTTGGGCAGGTTTAGTCATCCCATCGCTGCTGTAGATACGCACAGCCGCAGCAGTTGAGCCCTGCTGCACCATCACACAGCTGCTCAGCTGCGTGTTGCAACTGGGAAAAGTAATTTTTCACCATCAATGCGTTCCCTCTGCTGACTCGGTTTCCTTCCCTGGGAATCCAATGTTTGCATCTGAAGCAGGCTGAGGCCGAAATCACCAGGCAATCTCAGCTCTTGTCTCGACATCTTGTCTCCTCCACAGCCCTGCACGCAGCGTGCGCTGGGCAGCAGGCAGCTGCCGCACGGATCCTGCTCTGCGCCGGGCTGCAGGACACCCCGGATGGCACAGGCACACTGGCACGGCAGCTCGCGAGGAAGCCGGATGTCATCCAGGTTTTCCAGGAAACAAATGTCAGCCCGTGAGACGTAATGGGAAAAAGAGAAACACATTTAATTTCAGCGTTGTACCTTAGTTATCACTAATAACTATTCAGATTTAGGCAAACACCGGTTTAAAATGATGGAATTTTTGCCCAAGGATTTAGCAGAGAAACCAAGCTTGACACTTGGGAAATATGTTTAGAAGAAAACATATTTTAAATAGGATTATCTCAGAAAGATAACGGACGTGAAAAGCATGTTTTAAATAGGATTATCTCAAAAAGGTAATGGACATAATGGGTCTGGGCTGTTACATTCCTGTACTGATCCCATCCTTGTAAATATTTGGCTGCTCTTCTTCCAGTTCCAAATTTCAGGGCTGAACTTCACCTCTTCTTGTGCAGCACCCAGCACATCCAGACAGTTGAGGCTGCGGTTCTCTGAAGTATTACTATCCAAGGAAGATGCCCCATGGGCCGCTGCTAGATGACCTCTGGGGACCTGCATGGCTTGAACCCCCTGGAGCCTGCCTAGCTCTTGCTGGGATGTTTCCATGCAGTGGACATCCTGAGGAGAAGATACACCTGGATTGTTGATTTTTGTAGCCTTCAATGGACCTGCTCTCCACTAATCTCTTAAGTTGCTTTAAGTGGCCACCTCTTTCGATAGCCCCTGAGAGAGGCCAAGTGCGGTGCAGAGTGAGCGAGCCCTTGGTGACCCTTCCTTCATCAGGTTTGAGCTGCAGAGGACAAGTGCAGGGAGTCTTCAAGTTGCATCAAACTCTTATGTCCTTTTTGTGGCCCAAGTGTGGTCCCAAAGCCTGCTGAAATCAATAGAAAGACCTCAACCTTGCGATGACATCAAGGGTCTTTGGATCAGACTAAGAACGAGGTCTTTGTTATTCCAGACAGTCTTGCTTGGCACTTCTCACCACTTTAAAAAAAAAAAAAAAATCTGCTCTTTGAAGTGTATAGGGAAATGGCTTAATATTTAATGTAGCCAGTAAGTCTCTAACAGCCTGGAATACACATAAAGGTAAGAGCTACTGTAGCTGTTTGGTTTATTTGTATCCATCTGGAATTATAAATTTGGTTTTGCATAAAACATGGCACAGCCCTATCTATATGTAACATCAAGACGTAAAAAAACAACGGGATTCTGTGGTTTTGGTGATGGCAGATGCTAAAAATCAGACAGGACTATAACTGAGTGAGTGAGGTAGGTTTTGCTCTGCCCAAGCCATGGTGCTCACGTCATGGCTTGATGCGCGACCCACGTGCTCCCGGGTGGGTTTAAGATGATGCTGAGCTCTGTTTGAGTGAGAAATTCCCACCCTGCGGTCCCTGGAGCAGAATTTGCCATGATGATCCTAAGCCAGAGCAACAACAGCTCCTCTCAAGTTAAGCATTCTTTACAGCAGGGTTAGGGCCGCCTCCCCTCTGCTGGCTCGTGTTGCAGGAGAGGTGGCACATTCACAAAAATCATTTGTGGGGGCTATGAGAGGGGGCTGATAGCTTGCAAGACGGGGAGAAGCAGGGCTCGGTAGCATCTTAAGACTCTTCCAAACATGCCTGCAAAGACCTGCTTTTTGCCAGTCTTCCCCTGTTTTATTTCTCCATCTGTGAAGGAGATTCTTCTTTGCCAGGGAGGAAAAACGAATTAATGCTGGAAGGTGCTAACAGTGCAGGGTGATGGGAACTGTATCAGCCCCTGGGCAGGCGAGGAAGTGGGTTTATTCTCTAAAGATCCTGAATGCTTCTGTAAGTCTGGCCCTGGCCTCCATACAGCAATACTGGTAAATGCAAGGGACTGCTTCATTCCCACTTTTCATAATTTTAGCAAACCACGAAATAGCTGTTTCCTCCTAATATCCCTGCTGACAAGCTCAGGTTGCTTGAGAGTCTAAGCTTTTATGAGAAAGCAAGTGAGAATGTTTTCAAATGTCTGTGTCTAGCTTTCCTGGCCATGGCAAACATCTTGAAAACACAAAAGGGAATTTGTGTTATTTTGAAGGTGCTTTATGATTTCTGAAGGCTTCTGGACAGTAGCAGAGGGCCTGTCCGCCTGGGAGAGGGAGCTCAGGCGCTGTGCTCCCGTCCAAAAGCGAGACGTAATGGCACATCTCCAGCACTGTCTTTTTATTTACCCTTCTTTTAAATCTGCCCCTCAGGCAATAAAAAGATGCACGGAAACAAACTGGCTGTTGTTGTCACAGATGATGCGGTACAAAAGGACTTTAGAAAAGGAACGTGGATTCAGCTTTGTGACTGCAAAATTAGCCCGGGGAAGAGCCCTTGTTGTCTGTCTTGCTGTTTTTGCTGTTCCTTACTTGCTGCAAGGTGGGAGCAAGGGGTCAGGACACCTTTGCGTCCACAGGAGCGTGCTGCAAAATGCTGAGAAGAGCTCGGCAGCGCTAGACTGCGTGCGTGTGCGCGAACCCCCGTCGCGTTCCCGGCAGACGTCTCACATGGAGAGATGGTGCGGGCACCTGGTCCCCGGGGAGGAAGCCCAGGAGCCGGGCTCCGTGCCCACGCGGTGCTGAAGGCAGCTTGGAGCAGAGCCCAGCAGCCGGCACACGGCTTCAGCGCTGTCCTGTTACGCCACCTCTTCCATCCTTGGCACCAGCGCTTGCCGGGGGCCCTGCAAACATTCCTGGTCCTGCAACCATGGAGGAGAAGACATAGTGTCTTCATCTTGTAGGATGTGGCTGAGATACAGTCAGGGTAAGTAGAAGCGTTTGGATGGGTAGGAAATCAAGCCTCCAGTTGTGCCAGGGGAGGTTTAGATTGGATATTAGGAAAAATGTCTTCACTGAAAGGGTTGTCAAGCCTTGGAACAGGCTGTCCAGGGAAGTGGTTGAGTCACCATCCCTGGAGGTATTTAAAAGACGTGTAGGTGTGGTGCTTAGGGACATGGTTTGGTGGTGGACTTGGCAGTGCTAGGTTAGCGGTTGGACTTAATGATCTTAAAGGTCTTCTCCAACCTAAATGGAGTCTATGAAGTAATGTTGCAACGCTGTCAGAGACCTTAGCGAAAGGGAAGGCATATTGGTTTTAAGTAAAATTGACGTTGCTCTGGTGGTTGCACCATCACACACCCCCCAAACTCACAAGCACCAAGATATGCATGCCCAGCTGGTCTAGCCGGGTTTCCTTGCGATGACAATGAAGACGAGGGACTGCAGCTATTGCGTCCTCATCACGTCTCCTGGGCTTTTCTTAGGTTGGTGACCATGTATCGGTTTTGGATGTGCCCTTTTGTCCCTCTTAGGAGCTGGCGGTGTTTCTCACTCTATCCTGTCCCCCTTCTCTGTGAGTTACGAGGATTCACTCTCTGGCTGTTGTCCCTCAACCCTGGTGTCCCAATTAGCTGGTGGTAGACAATGAGCCAAGAGGACCTGCTGACTGACCATGGTGCATCACCACCAACTGTTTTGCCATCTCTTCTCCTGCCTTCTGCTGCTTCCACAGCCAGACCTTCCTGCTCATCCTCCATCTAGGCCAGTCTCAACATTTCTACTGCAGGTACAGACATCGCTCGAGTCCTCCAAGCCAACCTGCAGCCGCCAACAAACCCATCCCAAGCTGCTTGTGTGTCACTGACTTGTCTGACGGGGATTCGTGGTGGTGGCTAACACAGATCGATGGTTGTCTGATGCTCACGGATGTAGAAAACCTGCGCCTGCTGCTTGAGCACCAGAAACGGGCATCCCTGAAGGGCCCAACGCTGCCACCCACTCGTGGGTGTTTCTGTGCATCTCTTGGCACAGGAGGTTTGTCCCGGTTCCTGGACAGATAATGTCACCGCCTCGCTGCCTGTCTCGCTGCCGGCATTGCTTCCTCCTTTTGTGCTCTCCCGCTGAGCGCTCCGCACCACCGAGCCTTCACCAACACCCTGGAAACAAAGATTTTACTTTTTTTCTTACCTGGGTGTGACCGAGCTTGGTGCAAGAGGCAGAGCCCAGCCGTGCCTGTACGGAGCAGCGAATATACGGTCCGTCGATGAGCAGCGTTCACCTGCGGCGTCTCGGGGCTGGCAGGTCCGATCCCCCCGGGGCCGTGCAGCCGCCTTCGTCTCTCCGTGCTTTGCTCCTCCAAATATTAAAACCGTTTAAAAGGAGCCACTCTGCTCCCCGTCCGAGCCACCACGGCGAGGTTTCAGCTGCGTGATGGAGCTTCACCCGGTTCTCCATCGGCGCCGGCGCGCTGCCCTCCGCGTTGTGCATCCTGGTAGACGTGGGGGATGCAGCCGTATGATCAAATGAAGATGTCTTAAGCCTTGCAGGTGTCTAATCCACGCTGGCGCCCGTGGGTAGCCCGGCCCCAAGGCGCGTAAGCAGCTTTGCCGTGGCTGCTGCGTACGTGCTCCCTCCCCGCCTCGTTCCTTTTCCGCGGGATGCAGATCTGCGGGGCGTTAAAACCAGCGAACAGCCGGGAAATTCCTGCCTCGCTTCAAGGAAGCGGTGGGCGGTGAGACGGGGTAGCGGCGAGGATTAAAAAAACCTCTTAAATGCAAAAAAAACCCCAAATCTTCTTGAAAACGTGCTGTCTCCTTTGCGTCGTGCTGTGCCGTGGACGGGGGGGATTTGCCATACAAGCATGATCTTGAATGAGAGCAAAAACTCCTTTTCGCGTGTTTTGGGGTGAAAACGGGGAAATGTGAGAGGTGACGCATGCGAGAAGTGAAACCTGCGTTTGGGAAGTAGAAATACGCTGTAATTATCATCGTTTGTTGCGATAATTAGCGGCTGCCATTAAAAGCGCTTTCCTGTGGTCTCTGGGGTGCGGTGGAAAAACAC